CCTTGCCCTGCCTCTTCCTGCTGCTGATATGAAAACTCCACATGTAACTGGAACTGTCATGGCCATTCATTTATGAGTTTTGTAAAGAGTTGCTTCATTACACAGCCCATAGACTGCCCATAGCTCCATTGCTTCACTCCCTTCAGCCACACTCTTCCACTGGGTTTGGGCGTTTATCGATGGAGCTGATGTATTTTACGATGACTGGGTGACAATGCTTTGGCACAATGGTGAAATAAACATTGAGGGGAAGGTTAAGGAGACAGGGGGACCAATGAAAGTGTTTGACGTGGGTTATTATGGGCCGTGACATCCCCTTGGCTTTCTACTTCACATAGGTCCTTGTAGCAGAGCACATTTATATACTGGAGGTCTTAGTTAGTTTCAAAGCAAGGGCAAAGCTTGTCTTGTCCCTTCCCCTCTCTCTTGCCCTTACATCTTCTTCTACCTGTACTTCTGCTTTTCTTTACCAACATTTTTTTCTTTCGCTCCCATCTTCCTGCCTCCTCTCTCTCCTCTGTCTCGGAGCCGTTCTGATGATTGATTGTTTCTCTGTGCAGTCTGACAGGATGTAGCACACTGGCTGCCCCTGGGGCCCCTCGCAGACTTGCACCACCTGATTAAGACTCCCCTTGTATTCAGCTGCATGGTGCCCTACCAAACCCACTCCTATCAACATGTACAAAAATAATAACAAAGGTTCCTCTAGAAGATACCATTTTGTTTATTGCAAGCGTTTGAAAAGGAAAGGGTTTTTTTTTTAACATAGCTGATAGCTTCTGTCTCCTGGGCTTTGGTCTTCTCAGTATCAGTAGCAGCAGTGAAAGGAGCCAAGCAAAAGGTCTTAAGCCTAATAAAGTCTCTGCTACATTACAAACACAGTCAGGTCTAACCCCATTACGCCTGGTAATAGTTTTTAAAGATATAAATCTCTTTGTTTTCCTTCTATTCGGAGGAAAGAATGAACTTCAGCTATAGCGCTAGACTGAAGTGAGAATGATAGCGTTTGCATGCTACCACTGCAATCAAAATGGAAATAAAAGCCAAACAAGCTGGAAAACAAAAATACTCTTTATCTTGAGTTTATAACAATTACATTAACCCAAATTACATTAGATTGTTCATATCTATAGAGCCTATCAATATCAGTTTGGCATATTGAATTAGCAGATGCGCCAGTGTAGTGGAGATTATAACCTACACAGACCGATACATTGTCAGGATCTCAGGAGTCATGTCTGGGTCCTTAATGTCAGCTGCATGACAACAGGGTCAACTGTCTGCTCAAGTTCAACAGACCAGAGACCCTCATTTGACATAACATCCCATATCCAGTTTGTAACCCTAGACTAAACTTCATAAGGCAAACTTCGCGAGAGGAGATGCAGTATGATGTATATCCAGTGTAAGAGCAAAAGTATAACATTTGTGTTGTTTGAGAGGGGAAGTTTTTCATTGAAGTTGCTTGTTCTTATTTAACATTTAGTCTTTATTAAGGCAAATTAATGTGTAGTTATTATAAGGTGTAACTTAACACTTTACTTAGTTGCTATAATGCCTGTAAAATGCTGGAAGAGGAAAGTGAGTCAGAGCCTTGTTAAAGTCTATCTGGACATGGTTGCAGATCTATGTGTTGTTTCAGATTGTCGATTGCAATTCTGTCCATAATGTAATGATTAGGTTAAATCAGTGGGCATGTTAAATAATAAAGGAGCCGCTCTGGTGATGGTGGAAACCCCCGGGCCTGGTTCCAGCACAGTTCAGGCCTCATCGAACCTTGGTCTTGTTCCAAATTGATGTTATAATATGCTAGCCCTCTGCTGTGGTGCAAAAGAGCAATATTGATATTAGAGTGGTAAAGGTCGTGCGTGTGTTTTGTTTGTATAAAGAGAGAGTTAAAATGTGCAGAGAAAGCGGTCTGTTGTTGGGCTTGCCTGTGTCAGTGTGCACATGCTTTAAATGCATGTGAACATAATGTACAATGTATTAGCCTGTAGGTGTGCTTGGTATTTTAGCATGGCCACATTTGTATCTGTCTCTGCTTTCCCTTTCACCTTCTGCTGATAGCATCAGCACACAGAGTGACTGATGACACTTGTTTCCACACTCGGCTGCACCACGGCCTAATGTCTCTTTGTTTATTAATTAAGTGCAGGACATACATGCTGAGAGACACCTATTGATTTCACTGCATTTTTAATTGACTGTGCTTCTATAATCATATTATTGTAGGAAAATTATTACACAGTCTGTGTGCTTTCTCTGTGCTTTGGTGTTTATCAATATCTTTGTAGCTTCCTATTATTTCAAGTCATTTTAACTTACTAGTTGTTTTAACCCCCATTGAAAGAAGAAGTAAACTGTAACAGTAAAGTGTGGGTTTGATTGTGATGTTTGAATATGTACAGTATCTATAAAACTGCATACATTAGTTTGTGAGTTTGTGAAGCACATGAGCTTTGTCTGTTGTGCCAATTAAAGGCGCACAGACAGTACATGGTTGTCATTACATTGAGCAGTCTGCCTGTGAATGTAACAGATTTGGGTGTTTGTGTGCAGTCAGTGGCAGTAGTTCCCTGGTGAGTCTGACCGGGGGTTACAGTCTATCCAAAACGTCTGTCTCTTGCTCACCACCCAGATCAGCCCGTTCAGCTTGGCTGGGCCCAGTTGTCTTGGTTTGTACTGACGAGTGTCTGCTAAAGGTCTGTCTGGAGTTCAAGTACATTCAAGTCATCTGCCGGCCTCCCACTGTGCCTGACACAGATGGCTCCAGCTACAGCTGGCACAGCATGGAGCAGCACCTGACCGTGCCCATCCACTCACACATGTGCTTGCATGCACACACACACACACACACGTGCACACACAAACACACACAGAGAGAAGATCTTATACATCTGCTCACTTACTGTATGTAAAGGCTCAAACTTACAACACATCAGCCATGCACCTTTAAAAACACTCACAGCAGGAACATATGCCACTTCTACAAACACTCACAGTACCTCATATGAATTACCAATTAAAAAGCAAGGGTGCTACAAGATATTTAAAAAGTCTGAAAAATTATATCATGTATTGTTTCTGCTGGTGTCCATTTGTTAAATTGCAATAGCTCCTTGTCATTATAATTTCAGGGGCAACGTGGTTTAGGTATGTTAGACAAGGTGTATATCTCAACTATGATATTCTCTACTCATACAGAAGCTTTGTTATACAACCAGTCTATATGAACAAACTCAGAAATACAAAAGCCACATTTCCTCCAACGAACACCATGAAATCCATTAAGTAAAAACTATAGTTTCCCCTAAGTAAGCCTCATTGTGGCATTGAGCTATGCAGACTTTTTCTTGCACATAATTTCATTGAGTTTTAATTAACACAACAAGGATTCAGTGTCCTCAGATGACATCACTCGGAGCAGAGACTTTGCCTCATTATATCTTCATGTCTCTTAAGTCAAATCAACCATTTCTGTAAACCCTTGTGAAGCACTGCTGTTTTGATATTGGGCTAGACAAAGAATCACTGAAATTAATTGAACTACAGTTAAGAAAACTACAAGTCACAGGCGATGTAATTTGGGTCATTCTTCTACAATAATTCTGCTTAAATTGATTCGTGCTCTCCTCAGTCCAAGTGCTAAACCCTAACCTGACATCATAGGCAGTCTTTGTTCTGGCCCCAGGAGCGCAGCATATTTACTGCTTCTGCTGCACCACATGATTGTGTTAAAAGAGCAGCCGACAGAGACGTCTGCTGGCGCTGCTATGTGCACTTTTTCTCCGGGAAATGCCACTGCTTCATTAAATGGACTGCAGTCGACATATTAAGTTTGGTCCCATTTGAATTCATGCCGCATTAGAGAGTATTTGGAGTCTGGGGCCTTACCTGGCTCTGCTACAGTTATGTCTTTAGGTGATCTATAAAATGTTATTATTTAAAACAAGCTCTTTATGGATTGCTTACGAGGCATGCTTAGCACATGATTGATCTGACCTTTCAGAGACCGTCGTTCTTTGGGAAAACATCAACCTTAACCTTTTTAGTTGGATTACCCTGCCAGCGTCTCTGTACCAGCGCTTGTATACGCTGCTGTGTGCTTAGATGAATATGTTGGTGATATTTGTCTGCACCATATTCAATTCATATGTGTGTAATGTAAAGCAACTTGCAGTGCCTGTTGTATATGCTTTTTAAGGTTGGCTTCACAGAGATGAAAATAATGCCTCTCTGATGGATTGATCAATCATGTTTGAAAGGTTATCTGTGTGTGTGTGTGTGTGTGTGTTTGTATGTGTGGGTGTGTGTGCGTGCATGTGTGTGTTTGTGCATGTGTGTGTTTGTGTGACTGCAATGTACGGCTTGATGCAAAATAGAGATTGATGGAGGCTTACGGTGAGGAGGATACTCTGTTATCTCCTTGTAATTAAAATCCACCTCATAAAGATTATTGACTCCCCCACCCTACAAACCAGCATGCTCCCTCGCTTGGCAGAGTTTGCACAGCGCTTCTTAAAAAATGAAAAATAGCATATTAAGCAGCACATATTTCCCATTTATGCAGAACATTTAGATGTGGTTAAGTTATCGTAATGTGCAATAAAACCTGGATGTGAAATTTGTAATCCACTTTGGAAAATTGCTTACGATATTGCTTTAACATCCCCTGAAAGAGCTTTGGAGACGTGTGTGCCAGCTTTATTGTATGCCATAATTTAAAAGTCCTCAATGCAGGCAGTAAATAGAAATTTATTAGTGGCAGGTTTAAATGTGCAGACTGGAGTAGCATGACTGGATGCTTGAGTTCTTTCTATAATCCTTGGGGTGTGTGTGCTGGTGCCAACGTGTGTGCATGGCTTGGTACATCAGACATTACAGGAAATTAGACTGTGTTGTTCTTTTTTTTTTTTTTTTGGTTCAAATGGTTAATGATGTGAATAAAGATTGAAATTGATTGCATAGTTGTTTTACCTTTTATCTTTTATCTTCCGCAGGTGGAGAGCATTTCCTATGGGGTCTAATCCCTTCTGTTTCATGGGTCAGTGACCATTCCGACCTCAAAAGATTTTGGACCCCCCAGCTGGCTTCACTAGCAGGTCAAAAGGTACGTGTTTCTAAAAGAAATCACAAACATTGAAAACTAAGAAAAAACATTGGCACTATATTGTGTTGTTGTATAAAATATTATTACATTAACTTTTATTAAACCAGCATAATGTCTCACTATTTGAAGGTGATTAATGCACTTAAGAAAAGTTTGTTGAAAGTACATTTTGTTTTTATTTCTCCTATTTTTCTAAATAGTCTTCATATCCTTCCCACACTCTTCACGTTGTCTCTCATCAAACCATCATTCACTTGCGAGGGAGGCATCATTAATGCACAGTAGGCCCCAGCAGCTTGATGTGTGCTAATTATATTGTGTGTTTTACACGCCCCGTGACTTTTGCTTAGTCAGTGATGAGCTCAGGCTCTGGTAATTGTTTTGTGAATGTGATGAGTTTCTGAAAGCCTGTATGTGACTGTGAATGTTTAGTATATGTGAATTGTGAAGCTTTCATAGGGGATTTCACAGCGAACTCACATTTATGCACTTTTTTTCTAACCCCATATATCATACACAGATGCTAACTTTAGAAAAGATAGTGTTAAAACTGAAGATGACTCTGACAACTTAAACCAGCACTCAACTTTAAACTCCATCCGTCTGCACAGCTCTTTGACACACACAGTCAACCATGACATTGCTTCTCTGCTTGTATTCTTCACTTCCCTGTGATCCCTTCAGTACTGTACATCACTCAGTGTGTATACCTGCAAATGCTTAGCCTTTGGCTGATCGTGCTGATTGGAGATGTCCTTTGGCTCACCTGGGGGCTTCCAATCCTATTAGGCCAACCATCCTGAGCCTAGCATCCCCAGCAGCGGCTGTTTGATCACTGGTGCTTAGAGCCCACACTTGTCCTCTTATGTTGCTGTTACTTATGGAGGAGAGCAGCAGCAGTGCCCATATTTGTAGGAGGTTCAAATGCTCTTTTTAACTCTCCAGGGGGCAGAGGGGGTAAGGTCTGGGCCCACCTAGCAACGTGACACACTATTGCTACTTCAGCTACTGTCAGATATGCGTCTGACTTGAGTCATTTAAATACTCAATATATTTCATCCATGATACAATTCAAATCATGATACATGATACAACAATCCAAAACACTGTTCGGCTGTAATCTTCAAAATGAATTAATTGTAAATTCCATCCTTATCATTACTTTCCTAGTACCGTTCTTTACTTGCACACTAGCGTCTCTCTTGTGGCCCCTCCCCCTTCCTGCGTTGCGCCCAGAGCACCTAGGAAGAGCCATGTGTTTCCAAAGTGGAGTGGATGGGAAATCGAAGCAGGGCTTCTGTGTTTATCAAGCCACAGCTCCGTCACCTCGCTCCTGCTCCCGTCTGGAGGCCCGAACAAATTGGTGACAGCAGAAACAACTATACAGCTCACATGGTCCTGGTCCCTGCACACACACACACACCCAGTGGAGCACCTTGGCCTCTTTAGTTTTATTGCTGGTGTCAGGTGAGGAGGTAGTGGAGTAATGTCTAATGTTAACCTCACACACACATGTATATAGAGAGAGTATATACACATTGGTTTGCAGTCCTGCCGACACTTCAGCTAACAAGACCTGTGAACTACAGTGACACAGCTCCCAGACTTGTCAGAGTTACACTCCTGTAATACCAAGCTCAGGACCAGGCTGCAGCCTAAATGTATTTCATTGGGTTTTATAAAGCAACAAATCCACATACTAAATAATATTTCTTACTCTATCTAGAAGATTCTTATACTTATGCCATAATTTGGCCTCTTATATTATCTGGAGAGTACCACTTCTCATCTCCCATTATATGTCTGTGACATAGTTACCTTGTTAATGTAATATTGAATTTCACTATGGCAACTGACAGGTACATGTACTACTTCTATCATTTGTTCTGGGTAATGTTGCAATGCTCTCTGTAATACCATGTTTTCTCTGCTCAGCAGAGAAGGCAGGGTTGACTTGGGTTAGAGCCCTCCACAGCTGATACCTTGAAAATGAACTGCACAAACTACGCCTGGCCATTGTGTCTAAGTGCTTACAATGATGCCATTTAAGAGTGTATTGATCCTTGTGGTACAGGGTCAATCATTGGATCAATGCACTGTAGGGTTGGCAGGAGACTTGACTGACTGTATGAATGACTGGACAGTTGGATAACGGATGAATGGGTGAATGATGGTGAGATAATGGTTGCCAGTAAAAAAGATGTATGTATGGAAATATAGCAGGCTCATTATCAGGTCCTAAATCAATTGGTGTCAAGATTTAAACCCACTACTCAATGTCAGTGTCAACGCTTTATTCTCAATTAAAATATTACAAATTTTACCAAAATAGATTCAACCATTTTCAAAAATGCTGTTCTGCCCTGTCACATTGTCCAAGAGGAATAGTGGTTGCTGTAACACACCAACTTAAAATCAATATGTGTTTAACTGTACACCATATTTTGACATTTTTATTGCTTTTCTCTTGCTGCCACACAATTCTCAGTGACACTCAACAGATACCCTTAAGCAAACATTGATTGACAAATACAGCAGATTTACCTTGGAACTTATGGACTTACCCAGACCCAACATGGATTGTAAAGGGGACCATGGGAACACCTCCACAGCCTATTCTAGCCCTTTAACTGGACATTCTTCTGTTCAGTGTTGTAGTATACATTCATACAACTCATCTTCTATAGTGCTATAATGGATCATGAAGTTTGTATTAAAACGACACAATTAAATTAGATTCTGGATAAAAAAATACATTATTAAGCTAGTGTGTTTATTTGTGTGAAGTATATTGTATGGCTCACATCCCTAAAGGAGTTATATATAAATATGCACAGTACTATAAAGGGAGAAGTCAATATATTCTGTAAATGAAGAAAGACTTATTGTCATTAGCATCTTCACAGTAGATTGCTGTTTACACCAGGGTTCATTGACCTAGTTATTCAGCTCCTGGCAGCTCAACATTAAGAACTATAACAACAAGCAACACAGGGGAGCTGTCCGGATCCTCTTTATTCTTTTACATGTGAAATGCATATGAGAAGAATATCCATACTCTCTGCCTAACATGCAGCAGTCACCAGGGGCCAGTGGAGGTTGCGGCTTTTGACAAAGTGCAAAAAGAACAAGGCTACTTAAAATTCTGTATGAGATGTCAATTGTGCCCTCTGCATATTTCTATTGGAAATTTGTAAATAGATCCTTTGTAAATAGCTGCTCTCTTGCCAATCACCCTGACTGCTCTCTGCACTGCAGCATTAAAAATTGATCCTTAGCTGCACCGGGGTGAAATGCTAACATCACTGCCAAATGACTGATTAAAAAGAAAAACCTTTAATCTTTGCTTAAAAGTGTCTACTGCCTTGGCATGCCTCCCCCGATGCTCCTCTATCTTCCAAGGCTGTAGGGGGGGCTATGGAGGGGGGTCGCCAGGGGGGAAATGGGGTCACGCTTCATGTAGAGTCAGCGGTGTACAGTGATCTGGCTCCAGAGGTATAAGCCATTTTTCTAACGGAGGATCTAGGAATCGACATGCAGTGCTATACTCAAAATTTAACCTCTAGCCAAAAGGTTAAACACATATTTGAACGCCAAGCCAGGGAAGCAGATTCTTGCTAATGGTTTGCAAAAACTTATTTCAAATATGCTCAACAACAATACCAAAGTAGGCTTTCAGCAGGCTTCTTGACTTGAGTTTGTGTCACGTGTTAACTCCTACACATGATTAAACACAAATTTAAAAATATGAGAATTGACCTAAAACAATTTCAAGTGCATTTTCTTTGTTAGTTGCTTCTTGGAATTGTTTATGTTTGAGAGAAAAGTGGCGAATGGGCTCACTCAACACAAGCTGTCAGCAGTCTGTACCTTTGTAGAGTCTGAGGAGAGAAAGCAGAGAACAAGTAAGATAAACATGTCCCTCCTCTGCTCTGTGGTCCTTTTATTGACTTACATGTGAAGTGTACAGTCTATTCACTAACTTACTTACTATCTCGACAGCCACTCTTGATGGATATCTTCCTCTTCTACACTCCCCGACTTGCCTTACTGATTCCCAAGCATTGTACTAACGCAAGGCTTTCCAAGAACCATCTGCCTATTCCAAGTCCAACAAATCAAGGGTATAAGTGACAAATTAGGAGTGAACAAGTAAAGTGCAATAAAAAGCAGTACTTAAAATATTTGTCCCAACCAAAGATGTATTGAGGAGAGCAATAAACTGTCCCCAAATTAAACAAAATCAGTTCCTGAACATTCAAAGACCAGAAGTAGCATTGAGCACGTAGATCAGTGGTTCGTAAAGTTTTCACGCCAAGTATCACTGAAGAAAATATTTGGCTTTCTGAGTACTAACAGATCTAAACCAGGTCTAAAAGAGCAGTAAGAAAGTTCCAAGCAAGGACTAACTCAACGGAGGACATAATAAGTGACAAATTAGGAATGTAAAGTGCAACAGAGACTAAAGTAGTACTGAAAATATTTGTCCCTTACAAAGATGATCTTAGAGGAGTAATAAGCTTTTAAAACATTCAAACACTTTTTACGCTAAGTATCAGAAAAGACAATACTTAGTCCTCTGAGTACCACCAGATCTAAACCAGGTCTAAAACAGGGCTATTTTGCATAAACTCCAATAAATCTAAAACAGTAAGATGGGACTTCAGAATGTGAATAAAATTTTACTTACTCTAAATTCAGAAAATATTTTAAATCTGTGTACCACCCAAAGGAGCTTGCACACAAACAGTGTTAAGGGTACCACAGTTGAAGAACCACTGACCTAGGAACCCAGTTTGATGCCAATAGTACATCTTTTCCACTGTTTCGCGAACCATGCTTGAGTTATTATTTTCACACACATCTGTAGAGAACTGTAATTTAATCAATTTGTAGTAACAACAAAGCTCTTATTGAGAAAACACTGTATATTGGTTACATATAATGACTACTGCCAGATGAAGTGAATATTGAATTACATGTGCAGTCATAATGTGCCTGGTCAGCATATGTTAGCATTCATTTTATGTCAGAAGGTGTAATTTAACCTATTAGTAGCTATTTTGACATGCTACACAAGTAAACAACTTGGCTCTTAAATCAAAATGTATTCCTTCAGTGTGGAATACATGACACCCAGTAAGCTGTCACCCTTCACCACACACTTGGTAGGGAGCGCTCACCTCGCCCCATCTCTCTGTCATTCAGGTGTTTACTGTCATTCACACTCAGGCTTTTGTATAATCCTCTCACCACACCTGAGTGCTCCCCCGTCTATGTCACTGGATTTACTCTCTCTCCCCCTATACTCCTCCTGTCTCTCGCACGACCCCTCTCCTACTCCTCCCAGCCTTTTCCATTTTGCATCACAAACCATCTTTTTTACCCACATTGTCATCTCCTATGTAAATAACCGCAGATAAAACGACCGTAACAGACATTTTTGAGATTTACACAGTGCGCCTATGTTTTCAGTCATTCCCCTCTCATCAGACGGTTTGTTTGTTGAAGTGTCTTTGCCTGTAGCCATAAATTAGGGCTTGTGATTTAACTCATTGAGACAAAAGAGAAAGACAACGGAACATGAATAAAACAAATGATGAGAGAAGGTGTGAGATGGAGAGAGGAGGGAGGAGAGAAGGCAGAAGTGGGCCAGTGTGTATCTCTGCTCTACTTGGGTTCATTAGGAAGTCTGTTTTTGGAGTGTGTGGGGAAGACTGTGTTTGTGCATGTGCTGGAGATACTCACAGGTTAATGTGGGACACTGTAGCCATGGCGCATGCTCCGGCTTCTATTAAAATTGTGTGTGCTGAGTAAGAGATCTCCCTTGAATTATTTATCACAGCATTTTAATTGGTATCAAGTTTTTAAATGAGGTCAAATGCTGTGTTTCTTTGAAGATGCTTGATGTTAGCTTTAAGTCTGTATAAATAAAGCTCAAGTGATGCTACGTTAGCATTAGTGGACTTGAGCATCATTATGGTTTTTGTCATTCAAGCCATAGGCCAAGATAAGTCATTATTTTTCAACATAATACAAGTTTGTGCTATACACCAAAGTAGCTATTATATCAATATAGTAACAACTACAGTAATGTATAAATAATAGGGATGTAACAATAACCGAAATATCATGATATCATATTGTCAAAGTTCTCACAATAATATCGTAGACCATCACAATATATCGAATTACAAGTCTCTTTGCTTAAATTCAGAGTTATGGTGCAGCAATAGCTAAAAAGAGACAGAAGGAACTACATAGACCATGATCCTTTGCTCTATTTCAAGAAATAGCAGTTCTAAGCACTTTTAAGTCTTAGTTCTTTAGATTAAGTCTTGTCAAGGCATTTTAAGAGGAAAAAGTAGCATATTAACAGTTCTGTTAGCCTCCACAAAATATCACAATAAATATTGTACCGTGAGATGTAGATCGTGAAAATATCATACCGAGAGATTTAGATATTGTTACATCCCTAATTGTGAGTCTCTCCACTATATCGTGAGCTTTCCCACAATTTCGCAATAAATATCATACCGTGAGGTTCATACTGTGATGATATCGTATCGTCAGACTTGGATATCCTTACACCCCTAATAAATAACTATGTCAAATGGATGAAGTGGAACACCTGCTTGTCTAGAATGTTTCACACTATCGCATTGCAGACATTCATCTCCCTGGAGTAGCACACCTTCAAGTTACATATCAGATCTACAGTGAGGTGACTCCACTCATGTAAAGAAATAACATCTCTGTGGAGACAAGTGGCAAACCCTGCATCAGAAAAGTTACAAAGTGCACCTTTAACTTCTGTATGTGTGATATTATGTTTTATGTATGTCAATTCTACAACATGATTTTTTTGTTGGCAGATATCAGAGCTGGTTCAACATGAGCTACATCAAGCATGGACCAGAGTTTTTAAAAGAAAGAAGGTTGGATTCTGAAAAACAATGGAAAGATGTATCAAACCAAAATGGGAAAGATTTGACATTGCATGGCTCAGCATTTTCTGGGATCAGCCTCACAAGAGGAAAGGGCCGGACCGCAAAAGGATTCTCATCAGCAAAAAGTACCCAGCAACAAGGGAGGAAAAGGACACAACAGGCCATAAACCAGGAAGCAAAGGTTGTTTTTACCATCATACAACTTTTACCATTACACTCTCAGTGTTCAGGTTGTAACAGGACATCAAAGCATGATTTAAGAAGCCTCTGTACTCAATATTTATCAGAAAATAACAGCATTTTTTTTTCTTTAGCATTTTTGAATTTTGAATAAATTTGACTCTTTGATTTTTTTACCCTTATTGTCTTCTGTTTCTTCAAAACAGAACTCCACAATTTTGTAATTTGGTCCAAAAATCTGGAGCCAATACTAGCTTTGTTCACTGTTCCAGGATAAGACCAAACCCTCCTGGGAGAAGTCCGGAGTTGCAAGCCACAACCTCTCGTCACCATACAGACTGTGAATCAAACAGACACAAAGGTCACTTGTAGTGTCGTCCTGTACAACACAAAATAGAGGCATCTGTTTGTTCCCTGTGCGTTTGTAAAGAGCTTTAAGTCTGAGTCTAAAAGCACTTTTGTCTGTGTTCTGGTGGAGAAAATATAATGTTGCTCTGTAGCTTACACTTCATGTTAGTGTTTGACCCTGATATAACAACTTTGAGTTTTAGGTGGGAATAGTGACAATGCGTCTTCTATATTTTGTTGTAAAAGTGAAACTGTTTTGTTTGTTTGTATGAATATATTGTATGACTTTAATATCTTGCAACAATAACTGCAGTCTATGTTTGTTTATTCTATAGTGTGGTATTAAACATATAATGGCCGTTGTGGTCTTAGGCTTATGTAAGACATTTCACACTTGGCTGTTTTAGGGCTGCCTAGAGAGTTGCCTGTGTATTCTACCCCGACTCTTCTTAGTGCAATAGTAAATGGATAATTAAATTGTTAAACTCAAATGTCCAGTTTTGTAAATGGCACAGTTTAATTGATTAAGATTTCTTGCAAGTAATTAAAGAGATAGGACATGAACTCCATGAAGGAATGTAAACAGAGAGCAGCCAATCGGGTGGCGCGCTCCCCGTGGTTTGTTTTTGTGAGTGTGAGTGAGTGTTGGCTGTGTGTATCACGTCTGCTCCCTGTGAGACTCCAGCAGATCGATCCAAGGTGAGACCTGTCGATTAAACACCTTGAGCCGTGCTCTCTCCCTAACCCCAGGGTGATCCAATCCCACCCCCTTACACACACGCACACACACACACTCACACACGCACCCACGCATACACACACTAGACAAGTACACATACATGCACACACTACACACACACATATATACGCATAGCACACCAGGCTCTGCCTACACACACACACACACACACACACACACACACACGGTCTTCTGTCATTCGTCAATACCTCTATTGGAGCTTCATATTGATCTGCTCCACCCAACTTCTTCACCCCATGCAAGTACAACGCCAGGGCCAAATGACGACTGTCAGATTTACAACATCAGATCAAAACAAGTTATGACACTATTTAAAATGTTGTCACTGTGCAATACATATTACTCTCTATTTCATCTCTACTTTCTATTGCTTCTTAACTTTTTTTATTTGATCAAAGCAAAACATTTCAAGATATTGGGAGGGCTATAAACTGAAGAACAAGACCAGTTTGCAACTAAAGTGGCAGATATCTGTAATCGATCTAAACAGCAATTTGTTGCAAAATGTAAAATCTTGAGAAACCTGATATTTACCTGGTAACATCTCTGCATGGAGTCTTGTTTCCCAAAATTCTGACTTTTCTCTGCTTTGATACCCTGATTGTGTAAATAAATAATTGTTTGTACAGATTTTGGTTGTTTTTATGTACATTTGATGTCTCACAACACTGAACACTTTTTGTAATAAGGTCTTACAATAAAGTTATTATTGAACTCCTCCGGGCTGCAGTGTTTCTTTGATTTAGCACTGCAGGAGGGGATGAGTTACAGCTGACACCGAGAATCTGCCGGGGGTGGGATGGTAGGCACACAGTTCATAACTCAGCTGCCGAATGTGTAGTTAGTCAATCACTTGATCTGTAATCACAAATGCTGCCAGAAATTACATGAGTGATGAGCTGTAATAAAAGCACTTACTTTTCCTGCTCTGTCTCTTAAGTGTTATTGGCAGACCCCTCTCTCCCAGGAGGCTGTGGCTGTGAAACCAAATCCCGATATAAACTGCCTCATTGGTCCTTGCCTCACGCTCTCTCCACTGCTTGCCTGTGTCTATGTGCTAAAGTAGGCTACATTACACTGCAACACAAAGCACTTTTTTGACACGTACTTTCTTCTTTTCACAGATTGCCTGGTTTCAGGACAAATGATCCTTGCTCCTTTAAAGACAGCCATCCATGTCTTCATCATTTATAATCTCGAACGTCTGCTGTGGTGCAAAGAAAAGGGAGACAGGTGTAACCTTTTAGTATCACTTGACTTGAGATATTATAATGCTGTGAAAAGTACACCGATCAAGCATAACATTATGACCAGATGCATATGACTTAGTGATCTATGAATGGAAAATAAAAGTGCTTGTTAAAAACAGATAAATAAATAAATAAACATTGTGTTTCACACTGATTTGCATATATGTTCTTAATAAACTAGAATGACTTGGACTTAGACAAAGTTTATTGATCCACAAATGATTTGGACACAACATCACTATATTATAATAACAAAGAGTAAAAAAATATAAATGGTAGTAATAAATTCAAAATAAGTAGCAAAAAAGCAAGAGACTAGTGTCAAATAAGGCATACTTAAACAAATGTAAAAAAAAAAAAAAAAAAAATATATATATATATATATATATATATATATATATATATATATATATATATATATATATATATATATATATATTATTTTTTTTTTTTTTTTTTTTTTTTTTTTTTTTGAGCTAAAGTAATATTACTGCTTCATCCTTGTTTTTTCCAGACCCAGTTTGAACACAAACCCGATTTGGTCCATACTAATCTGTGTTTCCATATAAGCTCTTCCACTACCAATTACATCCAGTTTTTTAAAAATATAACTAAATGCATGTCTTATCCATTATCTGACCCATAGAAAGATGTAACAACATATTTGTATTCAATGTCCATAATGTTATACCTGATTGGTGCCTATGATGCAATGCCGTATTTTCCTCCCTGACTGGAGCTAAGCAAACCCTGATAAGCTGATGTACATCTAACATTGAGGTGATGAAACATCTCATGGCCAGATCTTTTTTTCCCCACAGCTCATAGCCTGTGGCAGTAGGGTTGTGCATGACAAGTTTATTGATACGGACCTCTGTAATAATTACACAGCGTCTTGCATGCGCTATTGATCAGGCCTATTGATAAACTCATATTTTACTGTAAAGGTCTGTTGATTTGATGCATTACAGCATAAATCTCTTTCCACAAGCAGCCAAGCTCGGAGCGTTCCTCTGTGATTGATGGACCTCTAGATAAACAACATGGAACATACACTAAATATGCACTGTTTAGAAGGGACACTATCGCTTCAATAAATATCTGCTCCGATGGTATCCCTATGGCACAGTTAGATAGCTTAGGTACATTCAGCCTTGCCCATTTGATGTGATGTGTAAGTGATGATGTTATGGGCTGTATGCTTCATCTTATCGTTCGTTCTATTGACAGCAGGGACTGAATCTGCATGTTGGTAATAGATTCTGATGTGGTTCAAATACCCTGCCGTAAATAGGGAACAGAGATGGATGATAGAACATGCTTGTCCTGTATGCATAGACAGGCGGCCACTATAAGAGTCAACTCAAATATTACTGTGGTGGGGTCCCTAGTCCCAAGTTTTGGACTGGCACAAAGAGCAGTATAGAGCCAAAAATAGCCATTACTGATTAGTTTTAGGTACTGTATAGGTAATTTTATTGTCATTTTTTTTATTATAATTATTTCTGATAGCTAGAACCAATACCAGTCACTATGGACCTTAAGAGAAGTATATTCCAAAAGGCACCCTATAATTAATTATGTCTTGCATCATGTCATTCATCTATCAATTGTTACCACTTTGCTCAGAATGTTCTGCATTATGGAATTAAATGTATGTCTTGCATCTTCAATTATAGAGGTTTTTATTGCAAAGGAAATTTCTTGAAAAACATGTATTCTTATTGTCAGTGGAGTCACCTCTCCACAGACTTGACCTGTAATTTGGCCTGATGACATCATCTGTTTGTTTCCATGTAGAAAGAAAATTTTAATGCCAGACTGTGGACCATTACAAACAAGGCAAAAACGTTTTCATATAGACAAGCAGGTAGTGGACCACCCCAGCAAAGTGCATCTTTTAAGTTCAAGTCAAAAGTTCTTGTTTGTGCCACATTCCAAGCCTTCTCACGCACACAGGAATATGCTGAGACAGAGAGCAATGTGGGAAATTGGTCTTTTAAAGCTCCAGAAAGTTGTAGCAGCATCCACAACATTATTCTTTCCAGAGCACTTTAAAATCTCCTCTTAATTCTCACCGTTTCATTTTGCTGAGAAAGCTATATGTGAATTACACTGCCCATTCTGAGCACAGTCTCTCCATTTGTACGGCAGCTGTTTGAAATGCTAATATAATGCTTGTGAAACAGCAACAATAATGCTGCTGTGTTCCCCAGAGCTGCAGGGGAAGAAATGGTGAGCAAGACAAAGGCAGTTTTTAATCTGAGCAGGAAGCATCCAGTGGCGATTCAGTGTGACACGGTGATTGATATGAGTGAGTAGTCTATTTACCGAGTCTGACGGGATAGGAGAAAGAGAGTGTTTTCTTCCCATCCACGAGCTTATCTTTCGCCATAAATCACTGCCAATGGGATGCATAAATGTGGATGAGCAAATGTCGTACAGCCCAGGCTCAGACGGATCTACTTTGACCTTTGCGTTTGCCATTGGTCACTGGTACTAAACGCATACCATGACCTCCTCTGACCTCCGCCTATTCATATTTTATAACCGAAAAGAGCTTGTGGTCACTTGACTTGTATGGCCTACTGTAGCTGCATCCAAATGAGATAGCACACAGAAAGAATCCAATAAGTCATTTGTTTTGAACATTACACTGCTTCACCAAACAAACATTTTAGATATTCAAAGCTATGGACAAGTCTTTTTCTGTCTAATCAGTGGTTGTCTTTTTATAGCACGACTTCCATTAGCATGTTCCCAGCGGCACTCCAT